ACATACATACATACATACATACATACATACATACATACATACATACATACATACATACATACATACATACATACATACATACATACATACATACATGCATTTATTACATTTTCAGTTTAAACCAACAAAAAAAAATACTTTAGAACTGTATACTTTATTTTTTAAGAGTTACAATATCTTCACATTGTATTTTTGAGATTTTACTCAGTAGGGCTAAAAGTAATAAATATAAATTTTTCTATCTTCTGTGTGATTTTGGCAGACGGAGGGGGGGGAGTCAGGTGTCTTTTGGCCCCACAGAGAGCCGGTAAACTACGGGACGTTCACCGTAACGGAAACGAGCAAAACCTGCTCCAGTCTTTCCACCGAGGACGTTCTGGTGGTGCACCACTACCTACTGGAGGCCACACAGGTCAGTCTGAAGATAAAAGACCCAACATTTTAACCTTAGGTTGAGGTAGAGCACCTTCTTACTTTTTTTTTATTTTTATTTTATTTTTAAAATTACATATATGTATGTAGTTTCTTAATTTTTTTAATTTATTTATTTAACCTTTTTACCTATTTATTTTACAGTAAAATTACATATATTTATGTAAACTTTTAATTTTTTAAATTTATTTATTTTACCTTTTTACCTCTTTTTTATTATTATTTTTTTTGACCTTTTTACTTCTTTATTTTACATTAAAATCACATATATGTATGTAAATTCTTATTTTTTTTATTTATTTATTTGACCTTTTTACCTCTTTATTTTACATTAAAATCACATATATGTATGTAAATTCTTATTTTTTTTATTTTTTTATTTTACCTTTTTACCTCTTTATTTTACATTAAAATTACATATATGTATGTAAACTCTTATTTTATTTATTTTGTCTTTTTACCTCTTTATTTTACATTTAAATTACATATATGTATGTAGTTTCCTAATTTCTTTTAATTAATTTGACCTTTTTACCTCTTTATTTTACATTAAAATCACATATATGTATGTAAATTCTTAATTTTTTTATTTATTCATTTGACCTTTTTACCTCTTTATTTTACATTAAAATTACATATATGTATGTCAATTCTTATTTTATTTATTTTATCTTTTACCTCTTTATTTTACATTAAAATTACATATATGTATGTAAATTCTTAATTTGATTTATTTATTTATTTTACTTTTTTACCTCTTTATTTGACATTAAAATTACATACATGTATGTAAATTCTTATTTTTTTTGTTTTTTAATTTTACCTTTTTACCTCTTTATTATACATTAAAATTACATATATGTATGTAAATTATGTTCGCTTTTTATGTTTACTTTTACCTGTACAGCACTTTGGCAACTTCGGTAATTTTAAATGTGCTTTATAAATAACATTTTACTTGACTTGAATAACTTTGATCACAACCTCAGTTCCACCTAAGCCCGGGAAACTGTGTAGCATTTATATCTAATAAAATACAATGATTTTTTAAATATTTTTTAAACTATAGTTTGGCCTTTTAACAAAATATGTAAAAAAAAAAACAATATACATTTTTAATAATAATAATTTATTACTAAGCACTAAGTATAAGTCAAATCCCTTTATTGTTGTCGTTATTCCCCTCTAACTCTGGTTCTGTGGTACCTGCTGTAAAATCACTGTATTGTTGTTGTTAAAGGATCTTATTCATCATCTAATGTAATTATTTAAACCAGTATTCTAAATTAACGAGGATATTCCTGATATTTGAAACTAAATTAATTCTAAATGGTTAAACAGGCGTATTAAAAAGCACAAAATATAAGTAAAATCCCTTTATTGTAGTTGTTAGAGGATGTTCCCCTGCAATCACTAATTTTATTTTTGTAATGTCATTGTCTGAACGTGTGTCTCTCTGTTTTAACTGATATTGTATTGTGTGATTTTGTGTTGTTTGGTCTTCCTGCCTCAGGACCACAGATGTAAATTAGCAACTATGCTAGAATCTGGCTCATTTACAATCTGTATGAGATTGTTCATTAATGTGCACTGTCCTGATTAAATCAATAGATAAATAAATGTTATTCCCCTCTAACTCTGGTTCTGTATGATAACTGCTGTGGTTCCTGGTGGTGTGTTCAGGGGGAATCGGTCCTGGAGGTGAGACTGTGCAGCGCCCCCTGCTGGCCGGACCCTGAGGGCCCCCCCAGCCAAAGCCTGGAGCTGCTCAGCCTGGTGGGGGGGGGGGGCCCCGGGGGGGGAACCCCCACGGCCGTCCACGACCAGTAAGGATGGAAGATTTATTAATGTTATCTGTTCTGTACGGTCTGAGGAGGGCAGCCAGAACCTTATTATTATTATTATTATTATTATTATTATTATTATTATTATTATT